GCTCTTGTTGCTTTATTATTTACATGTTTGTATATAAGTATCTTGCTATAACAACATTTAATCTTTCTTGATATAATAATGTAGGGTACAAACTTACAGCTCGTTCGCGTAATCAAATACAAGAGTTCTATGAATTGTTTGTCTTCTTACTACATCACGTTGGTTGCTTTCAATCCTGTTACTGGTACCTTTTGTGGTTCGCTTAGATGAAGATAAGCCTAGCAGTTTTGGTTTGACGGTCTCTCTTGCTCGACCTAATGGTTACTTGCCGATACATGTCCCGGAACGCTCCACCGTTGCTTCCATCTCCACGACGAGGTCCACCGAGGTTTCTTTATTCTCCCCCGGGGCTTCCTCATTCTCCACCGGGCCTTCCTTATTCGCCCCCGTGAGTATATTCCGCCCTCCCCCTGCTTCAACCCTCCTTACAAGTTCCCTGAGTGGCCTTCCAGGGATGCTTTCACCGATAGCAACCGGTTTTACTTGGTAAGATTAAGATACAAGATGTATTTTTGTTTGTTAACTTTCCTCTGCATGATCAATTATGTTTGTAGTGACTGATTGCTTTTGCAGTTGGAGGAAGCAGAGTTGCGAGACAATGATTGGATTGCTCTATATTTGCAACTTCAAGTTGCGTTATTTAGTCTCGATCATGTATCCAAAGCCGTAAGTCTACATATATAGATATGTATTTTTCTTTTTTGTTCCTCGTATAGTATAAATGACATGCCCATGATTGATGTTGCTCCAAGTTGAAGATTGTTAAAGCGGCGAGCGATAGAATCTATGAATAAAGAAGTGGAGCCGCGCAATGCGAAAAGTGCATTTGTGTACATAACTTTTAAGGGTTTTGCCATTCGCGGGATGAGTGAGGATTTTGAACGCAAAGCTATAATCAGAAGAGTGATCGATGAGCGTACAGGAAGCTTGAGCCTCCTTGGTGGCTTTTCAGGTGAAGACCATACTTTGGGGTATAACCCTAATATGACTACTCTCGAGAGCTTTGAATTTGTTAAAAATGCTGTCCGTACTGGAACTGTTCCCTTTTCGGAACGTGACAAATGCCTATACACCTCCTACATTTCGAACACGACCACGAATGATAATACCACGTAATCTGTTTTTTTGCGTTGGCCCCACAGTTTATAAACATTTTTCAAATTGACCCCATTATTCCGTTTAAAATCAATTTCGTCCTTAAAATGCAAATTATATTCGGAATACAGGGTATCATGAACATTCTCATGACTCATAACTCATAAGCAAGAAAGTGGACTTTTTGTATATATAAATCACTGTACATAATCTATTGTTACATTTATGGAAACTCTCAGGAACAAGCAGGATCTCTTGAATGATAATTAATATAAACAAGACCAAGCTTGCATGTAATGCTTGTGTTAGAGAGAGCTCAATGGTCCATTAGTTCTTGAACTTACGACCAGACCTATAAAAAAAACCAATCATTTCTATGTCTCCAAGAGGGGAAGAATGTCTGTACCATGGCTTGTGTCATCCGCTGAGCATCCATGAATGTGTCTTTAGTTGTTGAGATCGTTTTTTGTTGCGGATCATGTGCGAGCTGCTACATAACTTAGTTCACAAGTCCCTGGAATCAAATGCGAAATCGGATGGGATTTGAGATTGGGATTAAGAGATGTACGTGATTCATATAGAACGATTACTAGTTACTGCAAGAAAATGTGATTCACTTACCAGATTTTACATCTCAATCTGTTTTTTCCACCTCTCGAAGACTTCGGTCCCATTCGTCTGCCTCATAGTCTTGTTCAATCATATCTCTATCTGTACTGTACACGATCCGCTCCTTCCCTATGACTGTCTTTTGAGCCATATCCCTTGCACTCAGTAGCTGGCATCACATCATTCAGAGGTGTTGTTACACAGTTCCCAAGTAATAAGAAAGAACATAGATGAAGTTTCGAGGAGACATATTCCAAGAAAGTTGTTTTAATCGGTACTAGAGAGCACGATAAGATCCACCATCTCAACTATCACATAAAGAGATTTTACACAGACATGCAGCATCATAGATGATTCAGAGCCTAACCCTTTATCTAAGTTGGCAAAGGTTTACCCCTCTAAAGGAAAATATGGGTGAAGCTATCTCCTCTTAGGAATATATGTTTGGGGGCATTAACGATTATCAATAGTGTGATCGACAGAAATTTGCTGTTTGGAACATTAACCAAAATAAACAACTCCCTAGATTTATATAACCACTGACGTGCCTACCTTGCGCCGTAGTGCGATATCAGGAGATTCAAGTGCTCGTGCAAATTGTAGCCGAGCTTTGTTTCTGTTCTCTATCTGATTATTCTTTCTTTTGACTGAAAACCACCGAACCAATGGGATGGCAAAGAATGAACCTGCGTATATCTGCATATCGTTTGTGCAAGTCAATGAAGGACACTAGTAGAAATAGTTTTACAAGGTTGAAAGTTATTTCATAACAACTTGTTTAAAACAAAATTCATAACAACTTGTCCCTGTCATCAGTGTCAGTGATCGCGTATAAAAACAACCTTAAGATCTTAAAGCAAATAAGACAAACCAGAAGCAGTAAAAAGGAGTTTGCCATACGAACGGAAACTAAATCATACCTGAAGTAGTGGAAATACGTTCTTAACAAATGTAAGAAATCCACTTGGCATGACAGCCATCTCCCTAGGAATTAAGATAAAAGCAAGGTTGCGTTAGAGGTTTATAAACATACAAACAATGGAATTTTATGTAGAGTATAATCGAGGAGGTCCTTACTTTAGCATGGTGTTTAGAACAATAACACCAAAGAGATTAACCGCACCTAGGCCAATGACCATTGCTCTCTCGGTTGAACTAGTTTTACTGTGAAGAAAGAAGATTCCAGTATCAGGAACTGAACCATAAAAAGCAATAAAAACACAACTCATAAGTGTAAGATATTAAAAACAATGATAAGAACCTAAATTGCCATTTTTTCTCCTCGAAAAACTTCTCCATATCTGCAACCCAGTCAAACCATTTCCCCACGTATTCCTTTCTTCTACTAGATCCAGAAGCCGTACGTTGCAGGGACGGAAAGCGATACAAAATATTTCCCTAAACAACATAAAGAAACTTGTTAGTAAAAATGACCAAAGAAAACAATGCAGGTCATGCAACCAGAAAGAAGATTTGTATACCTCTTCATCCAGCTCAGGTTGACCATCAAACCGAAGAAGAACAGGTAGAATGTATGATTCATCATTCTGTAAACATCAAAAGGAAAACTTAAGAAGCCGAAAGAATGTCTTTTGCATTATTGAGCGATACAACTAGCACGAGAGGTAAACAAGTACAAAGGACCAGCACAAAAGACAGCTAGCAGCATAAAAAACTAGCTTCATTAGCTCCGCTTACAAGAAACAATAAGCAAAACATACCGCATCACTCTTGGAAGATGGTACATCAAGGTATGGAGCAAGTTCGTCAGCTGCAACAACACCTCCTCTAGAAGTTATATACCGCCCAATCTGCAAATAAATGTCAGAAGCGAGTACATCATTAGTGCTTCATTATATATGAGTGATATGTCTTTTCATATTCAAATCTTAGAAACAAAAATCTGTAGGAGTCTAAAACAAGCATATCTACATTGCTTTTCCGTTATATATATGGAACCTACTCACCAATTTGCTTACTAATCATAAAAACATCATCTAAGATTTTCCCACAGATTGGAACTAATGACCTGAATAGGATCAAGAGCATGAAAAAAATATCTTGATTAGATTGAAGTCATGCACATTACCATCTGCCACCTCTCTTCTTCGATTCCTTGATTTGGATCTCCATCTCCAAATACAAAGGAGAAAACCTAGTAATCAACCATTAGTTGATTCAAGTCATTATCACTCAGCAGCAACTGGGGAAGAAACATATAACAAAGCATGGAAACTTTCAAGTTCAAATTCCTCTTACAGATTCAATGAAATTCATTCCTTGTCCTTCATCTTCCCTAGCTCGTCGCCTTCTGTAATAATTTGGATCCCAGTACCTTACATAAAAACACAATAATAAGTCTAGGAGCTTCCATTATATCAAATCATTCCTCTCTACTGTTGTAGTAGATAAACCATTAATCAAGAAAACCAAATTACCAAAACAGATCGATAGGGTTGATATAGAAATTGAATCCAGAATCAAATCCGCGCCCGCGTCTTCTTTGCCGATTATCATCCTCGCTTTTAACAATATCCAAAAGGTCAGCGCAAAATTCAAACCAATGCCATTGTCCACAACGATATTATCGAGTCAAACAGATACCTTTTGCTAGAAAGCAGAACTATAATCGTTGTGTAGACGATAACAATAGACGCTATAAGCGCCGTGCCAAACGAAACACGAGTCAAATAGTCTACAGCACCCTGCCATGTACATAACAGAGAGCTCAGATGATAAGTAAACACAATCAAGTTCAAATTGATAAACTGTAATAAAAGACAATACCTTTGCCTTTTCAAGAAATGGTTCAATCTGTATCCTTAACGACTTGGTAGCCAACTTAGACCGATAATCCCTTGGGAAAACATAAAGCACATCACCTTCATCCGAAACCTGAATGAAGTAATAATCATTGAAATTTAGCACTTTGAGACACAAAACGGATAAAGATCAATACTTTATCGATGTCTGTATCAATCCAAGTAATGGGCATGAAATTTAGCATCTTGAGACGACTAATCGAAACATGAAACCCATAAAGATCAATACTTTATCAAATTCTGTATCAATTGAAGTAATGGGCATGAAATTAAACCAATGAATACCTCAAGAAACCCATCAGTATCAGCTGCTAGAGCTTGAAGGGCTTTTTGAGCTTCAGTAACTTTCAGACCAGCTCTGCTAGACACGTCACCAACAGTGACTCTCCGACCACACTCATCCACAGCTTCCATAGCTCGTTTTCGGACATCCGTCGGTAACTTGTCGCTCTCCACCAATCCACCTGGTCTGATTGCACCGCTAACCTTATCCAAACTCGCCGCCTTCACCACCGAGATTCCATGGGTCGTGAACTTCCGGCGAGTGCTCGGTATCCTCTTCTTCAAGATTCCGGCGAAAGAGTAATGATCAACAGAAGATCTGAGACGAATCAAAGGCTTCTTTGATGAGAACCCAGATTGAGTTAACCTAGGGGAGACGATTAAGCATGTCGATACACACGCCATTCTCTAATCACAGCTTTAA